ATATATATATATATATATATATATATATATATATATATATATATATATATGGGCTGGAAAACCTCGACTCTATCTGGCAACACTGCACCGTACTACAAATCTACTTTCAACAAATGACAAGGCAAATAACCCCAAATTAATTTAACTCAAATTCTTCAACGAACTAGTCGGGAAGAGGCTATAATTATATTTATTTGCAGGTATTTTTGCACAAGAGTCACAGGAAGTAGTTTGATGGGACAGACTAACCTCCATTGGCGTCTCAGGTACTCCGTTAGACTGGTTCAAATCATATTTCTCTGACCGCACTCAATTCATTCAGCTCAAATCCTTTCGTTCCCAGTCTTCCCCCGTCTCCACGGGTGTCCCCCAAGGCTCTGTCCTCAGACCCCTCCTCTTCATCATTTACCTCCTTCCTCTAGGTCACATCTTCCGTAAATTTGGTGTCCATTTTCACTGTTATGCTGAAGACACACAGCTCTACCTGTCAACAAAACCAAACTCCACCCACCCTCCATCCTCACCGACTGTCTCAATGAGCGAAATCACTGGTTTTCTAACAACTTCCTACAACTAAACAGTAACAAAACAGAAATCATTCTTGTCGGTACCAAAAACTCTCTTTCAAAATCAGAAAATCTTCTCATCCCCCTTAACAACTCCATGCTATCCCCCTTGCCTCAGGTCAAGAGTCTTGGTGTCATCCTCGACACCACTCTCTCCTTCACTTCACACATCAACAACGTCACTCGGTCTGCCTATTTCCATCTCAGAAATATTAACCGTCTCCGCCCTTCTCTCACACCCTGCTCCACAGCTATCCTTGTGCACAGTCTTGTGACTTCTCGGATTGACTACTGCAACTCCCTTCTTTATGGCCTCTCCAACAAATCTCTCCAGAAGCTACAATTGGTCCAGAACTCAGCTGCCCGTGTCATCACTCAAACCTCCTCCTATAACCACATCACTCCAGTCCTGCAGCAGCTCCACTGGCTCCCGGTTAAATCATGCATCGTCTTCAAAATTCTTCTTCTCACTTTCAAAGCTATCCACAACCTTTCCCCTCCGTACCTATCTGACCTCCTACACATCTCCATCCCCTCTCGCTCTCTCAGATCCTCCTCTTCACTCCACCTCCATGTACCCTCTGCCCGCCTCTCCACCATGTGGAGCAGGGCCTTCACCTGTTCTGCTCCTCATCTCTGGAACTCTCTACCCCCTGACTTAAGAAACACCACGTCTCTTTCTCTATTCAAGACTGCTCTGAAAACACATCTCTTTAGACTCGCTTATCCTTAACTTTGCTGTATGTATTTTATATTCTTTACGCATTTTATATTCTTTATGTAATTTATTCCTGTTGATCTTTGTTCTTACTGTAAAGTGTCCTTGGGTGTCATGAAAGGCACTTTTTAAATAAAATTATTATTATAACTTGGAAGTGAATGTAAAAAGTCAGGATTGCTTAATTTTACTTGTCTGAAGAAGTAAACACTAAATACATAAAGTACATTACCGACAGACTATTCCAGTGATGATCTTATAGGTGCTTAGCTCATCTGACGATCATATTTACACAGAAACGACCAAAGTCCAGGTGGGGCCTACCAGTTGCTGGTTCGTAAACCTTTTCCTTGCTGCATTCCTCTCGGCTTGTCCTTCTCTCTCCGGCCCAGAAGTTCAGCGGCAGCGTGACGTCTACCGAGCCCGAGGACAGGCACCGAACAGCGGCCGCGGCGGGGCCCCGCCGTGACAGCACGGCGAGCATCTGCAGCATATTTAAACTTTTAGCTCCGGTTTAATCTGCAAAATATGCAGACACCATGCTGGTTAACGTCATGCAAAACAGCTAACTTTAAGACAACAACAAGAGTCAACCACTCTAATTTGACCAAAGTTTCTTAAGAAAGGTAATTTTTCCTTCTTGAACTTTAATTTAACCAGACTCACACATCGGAATCTTCACATTAAATATAATGTGACCCCGTTTTGCTTTTGTTTGCTAACTTTTCGACTGTTACGCTAAAGGAGGCGGGGAAAATGACGTTTCCGAACAGGAAGCAAACGACCATAAAAGGCTATTTGACAGCTGCACTGTCAATCACAAACACGCGATGGAGAGCATTTTAATTTATTAATTTTGAATAACATTTCAACTATAAACGTAAAATTTCGAACCTATGTGAAAATTAGGAGTGATGAATTTTATATATTTTGTGTATAAAATTAAAATAAAATTAAGGGGCCGCGATGTGGGCGGAGCTTGGTCACAGTGACTAGCTCAGCCTGTAGCTCGTGCGGCTCATTGCAAGTATGGCCGGGGACAACGAGCTTCTTAATAGGGACCGCGGCGAGAATTCAACCGTTATTCGGCAACCTTTTCTCATCGGTGTCTCCGGCGGCACTGCTAGTGGAAAGGTTTGCCTTCTTGCTGGCTTTTTAAAACGCATTTTTGAACGTCACAATTAGATTTTGTAAGTTTCAGCTGAAAGATATCGCTGTTGCCGGTTGCTTGTTGACCGCGTGGCTTTAGTGAGGCAATGGTCAACTCAACCACATGTCCGTTAGCACTGGTTCGGGGAACCTCATCATTTTCCTGATTTTTCTGTTCATTTCGTTATTTGTTTTCTATTTCATGAAATGTTAAGTTTCTGATGGCATCGGTAGCTTTTTATAACGCCGGGTCATGTTAGCTTAGCTACCTGCTAACACTGAATTCCACCACAGGTTATCAATGGGTGTTGTGCTGCAAAATGCACCACGCATATAACGCGCTTTTGGCAGTGAAAGTGAAAAGTAATGAACAGACTCGTCATGTCTTCAGTCCCTTTAAGAACACATATTGCAGTATATATTTTATTAGTGTAGGTATTTATAGATTTGTATTAGTAAACGTGTCGCCTATGCGCGTCCACTGGCAGCTGTTCTCTTCCCGTCACGGTTTCGTCTTTCGGTACAACACCGGCTGCTTTGAGCTCGTGCTGTTCCTGGTTATGTGACGTGTTGGTAAACAATGAGGTCCACGTTGCCTTCTAGCTTCGAGTGTTTTAGCCCTATTGGAGCCATAAAACACACCTTCATGTAATAACTGTGCTACATGTGAGTGGGTTGTTTGGTTTTTGTCTGACCATGTTAGTTCATGTGTAGGTGTGGTGGACGCGCACTTTCGGAGTGCCCGTACGCAACCGCAAGACCTGAAATACCACTTAGTTTGTTTATTATAACTTGACATAGTTAGAAATATGCATGATGTCATCAGTTGTTAGGGAGACATGTTTTTACCACCCACAGTCTTCATACATCATGAAACATGAATCACACGGGAGGTTAAATCTGTTGCCATCTCTGAAATGGGGCTTTGACAACCCCCACCCCTTATTTGTACTTGTTTGGATTATTTCATGGGTCACTAAAAGGGATTGAAAACGGAGTGTTTTTGAAATATTGAAATTGAATATCACACTATACAGTAGTCCCAGACAGCACGGTGGCTCAGCTGGTAGAGCTGTTGCCTCTCGGCAAGAAGGTCGCCAGTTCAAATCCCGGCCTGGGACCTTTCTGGGTGGAGCTTGCATGTTCTCTCATTGCATGTGTGGGTTTTCACCGGGTACTCCAGTTTCCGCCCACATACCAATAACATGCATGTTAGACTGATTAGTAACTCTTAAGTTGTCTCTAGGTGTGAGAGAGAGAGTGAGTGAATGGTTGTTTCTCGTTTGTCTCTATGTGTCCCTGTGATGGACTGGAGACCTGTCCAGGGTGTCCCCCGCCTCTCACACAGCTGGATATGGTCACCAGTGACCCAAAAAGTATGAAGCAGGGAAAGATAGTGGATGGATATAGTCCTTCTACTGTCTCAGGGGTTACGTTCCACACACCACAGCAATAGGTGAAAAACTGGGAAGCAGGAACGCTATATTTATTTAAGTATTTATATATATATATATATATATATATATATATATATATAAATGCTCTTGCAGTGTTCTAAACTCTAATTTTAACAAACATACGTATATGTACTGCACACTACTGCAACATTTTTACTCAGCAGCTCTGTAGAACAGCAGCTCTGTTCCGGTCGGGCTTCATTCCGGTTCTGCAGACCTTCCCTGCAGCGATGAAGTCCAGGTTGATGTGCACATGGATAATTGAGCTTCAGGATTATTTCCTGCCAGTTCTCTGAGCTTCATAGATACATCATTACTTCTGACTTTGCGTTGCAAAACTATCCTTCCATTTCTACAGAAAGCGGCGGCTGGAAGCACTGTTGACTTCTGGGTAGTGTAGTTCTTTTGACTTGAGTTACAGTGTAGGCTTATTGAAAGAAAACTACAAAATGGCAGTGTCTGTCCAAAGTATTTTAAACTTTTTATCCCATACCGTCTCAATCACGTAATATTAAAGTTGACAATCGCGTGTCGTGTACAATCTTGCGTTGAAAAACCCTGAAAGAGCGAGTCTGCGAAAGTTGATCCGCGAAGTAACGAGGACTATTGTATACTGAAAAAAGATCAATCTAATAGTCAGAGTTTGGTGTTTTACAGATTAAACATAGTTTTGTCTAGAAGTGTTGATTTTTCAAGAAAATGAAGTTTGTCTCGTTCATGTCAGCTGACTCCAGGGTGCGTTAAGTGTCAAATCATATTGTTTGAAACGGCAGCATCTGACCAGGAAGACTCAAACCACCAGCTTCTGAGTTGCTTCGTCCAAATTTTATGTTTCGTCGGCTCAAAGGCAGCCAGCTGGGAAATGCCTCGTCAGTGGAACGATATGAGATCCATTTACCGGTAGCTGGGGAGGTCAGTGAGGGCGGTGTGCCTCAGGGCATTTTGTCTATGCTTTAATTCATTAAAGGTGAGAAATGACTCTGCTTCTTTTCCTGGTTGGAAATTTAGAGCTAATTAGGATTTACTCAACGTTTTGAATACGTTTTTTGTCCATCCGTCCTTAAATAAATCACTGGTGTATTTCTGCAGTCGTCTGTATGTGAGAAGATCATGGAGCTGCTGGGACAGAACAAGATCGACCACCACCAGCGTCAGGTGGCCATCCTCAGCCAGGACAGTTTCTACAAAGTGCTGACTCCAGAGCAGAAAGCCAAGGCGCTGAAGGGTCAGTTCAACTTTGATCATCCAGGTATGCAAACATTCAACTCCTAACAATTCAAGTTTCAAAGTTGTATTCACTTTTAGCTGTTTCAGTAAGATGTCTACTTTTCGTGTGGATGTGAGCTGTAGTTGTTTTTCCAAGCTATCCCATGATGCTCTGAGAGGTGCTGACAGTACTCATGCAGGTAATGTGCCTTTTCCTTCTCCTTAGATGCCTTTGACAATGAGCTCATCCGACAAACACTCCGAGAGATCCTGCAAGGGGAAACTGTTCATATCCCGGTTTATGACTTTGTCACTCATTCCAGGTGAGCACTTCCTTATTTCCTGCTCAGGTTGCGTTTTACCAGCATTCGTTGTTTTAGAAAACTGGAGTTCAGTAAGAAGTCAAGTCCAGAACGTGTTTACCAGAACACGAACTTCTTCTGAACAACCTTTACCTATCATGTGTCACATTATAATGACTCACAAAGAAGAGGGAACTTTTCTGTGTGTTGTTCCAGGAAAGAGGAGTTTGTTACGGTGTATCCAGCTGACGTGGTGCTGGTTGAGGGGATCCTCATGTTCTACTCTCAGGAAATCAGGGATCTGTTCCAGCTGAAGCTGTTTGTTGACACGGATCCAGACACACGGCTCTCACGTCGAGGTGTATAGAAAATGTTGGCTGAACACCCATGAATGCACCTTAGTGTAGCGGTTCACCTGTTAAATAGCAGTATCAAAGTAGTACTAATAAAATGAACAAGTAGGCTGTGACTAAGTACTACATCAATCAATGTAATTTGCTTTGAATCATGTGTTTATGTTCCTGCTTTGTGCTTACTCGTTTCAGTTCTAAGGGACATCAATGAGCGAGGTAGAGATTTGGACCAGGTCCTGAGTCAGTACATCACATTTGTAAAACCAGCTTTTGAGGAGTTTTGTTTACCGGTAAGTAAAATAGCTTACTTTGTCTAGTTTAACTGATACTGGCTTCTACACAGAGCTTGTGCCCAATTTATTACTGACGTGGCCTGAGTCTGCTGTTACAAAGAGTGTCCACCAGAGGGCACTAGTTCACAGTTACTGGTTAATGTAGATTCAGTGTTCAAACTTGGTTTGTGTTGTTACTAACTATAACTTGGTGACCAGAGGGGGCCATCTGTGAATTAGATTGACAAAGACCTTAACAAACCCCTACTGTGAGGTGTGATAGGTCAGTCTGCATATGTATGTATCTTATCTCAGCTTTATAACTTGAACCCCTCACTCTCTGATCTTTGAATTGAGAAAACTCCTCGGATGAGGAGCGAAACGTCTTCTGTTACAAATAAAGTCCAGTTGTTTTTGTCTTGAACTTTTTTGAATTAACTAGAACTTTCTTTCTACCAGACGAAGAAGTATGCAGACGTGATCATTCCACGAGGAGCAGATAATCTCGGTAAGGCCGAGATGATTTGTGGAAGAAAATCTATTTTGTATTCAAACAAACTAATTGGATAGAATAGGGCCTGACTTAATGTTGGCTGTACCAAAGTAAATACAACAAGGTTAAGTCAGGTCCTCTGGACGGATTCTTCTCTGTTGGAACGTTTCGTCTTTAAAAGACTTCTTCAGTCTGATTGAAGAAGTCTTTTGGATAAAAGATGAAACGTTCCAACAGAGAAGAATCCGTCCAGAGGACCTGACTTAACC